AAAAAAAAAAAAGGTGCCACTCTCAGCATTTCTCCTTGTTTTTTTTGTTGCTTTCTGTTATTCTCTCTTCCACACTCCACTTCCCAAAACCTCTCTCTCTCTCTAACTTTGATCGAAAAAACCGAAAACCCAGAAAGAGAATCAAATATCATCACCACAAATGCATTCTCAGAACCACCAACAATCTCCACTTGACCCCTCCGACCCCCAACTCCCCACCATCAAAATCCACCACCCTCCCTCTCCCCGCCACCACTCGTCCTCCTCTTCCGCCTCCGCCGGAGTTCCGGTGGCCACTCCCACCCCCACCGCCGGCGCCCGCCGCAGGATCGGAGTCGCCGTCGACCTCTCCGATGAGAGCGCCTACGCCGTCCGCTGGGCTGTCCACCACTACATCCGCCCCGGCGACGCCGTCATCCTCCTCCACGTTAGCCCCACCTCCGTCCTCTTCGGCGCCGACTGGGGCTGCATCGACCTCGCCATCGCCACCGACGACGACGGAGAGGCGGCGGCGACCGCCACCCCGACCAAGCGCAACGCCAAGCAGAAGAAGCTCGAGGACGACTTCGATGCCTTCACGGCCTCCAAGGCTGCCGATCTCGCCAGGCCGCTAAGGGAGGCGCAGATTCCGTACAAGATCCACATCGTCAAGGACCACGACATGAAGGAGCGGCTGTGCCTGGAGGTGGAGAGGCTTGGGCTCAGCGCCGTCATCATGGGGAGCCGAGGGTTTGGGGCCGTGCGCCGGGGAAACGACGGGAAGCTCGGGAGCGTCAGCGATTACTGCGTTCATCACTGCGTTTGTCCCGTTGTTGTCGTGAGGTATCCGGAAGATAAGGACGACGGTAATGACGGCAGCGATGGCGGCGCCGCCGTGCTCGCCGCGAAGAACGAGGAAGATGAGGCCGTGATCAAGCCCGTGGAGAAGGAGAAGCATCTAAAAGGTTTGGGAATTCAACTCTTGATGTTGCAAATTGCGTTGCTTTTTCGCAAATTTTGTGATTCTTCGTTTTGCTGAGTTTCATTTCGTTGGTTCTTGATGTCGTTTGTTGATAGTAAGAAAATTTATTGTCAATTGTGTTTGTTCTGAGTTTGTTTCTGGTTGGTGCTTT